ATTTTATATATATATATATATATATATATATATATTAATAATCACGTACTTTTAGTATAAATTTTTATGATGTAAATCAATAAAGTATGAATTTTAAAATTATTCTAAAAGTTAACAAACATCTAATTTAGTAGTTAGTTTGTGATTAGAAAAAAAATATATGTAAGTCACCTCAAGTATAACATTAGGAATGCATAATCTATTTCCTGGTTTTGTTTTACAAAATATGAATTTATTAATTTTATTCTAGTAAACTTAAAGTGCGTGGGACTAAACATTTGATAAATTTATAATTTTTTTTATTAACTTATAAATTAATTTAATTAAATGCATTTGTTTGGTTGAAGAAATTATTTTATGATTTTATAGATTATTACGTAAAATAAAAAAAAATTTATATTTTATAAATTCTTGATTTTTCCCCCTTTTTTTTATTTTTTATCTTTTATTAATTTATTTAAAATTATTTTTTTTACCTTTTTTTAATTTAAAAATTATTTTATCTATTTTTTTTATTCTCTCACACTCATTGGCAAACAAATAAATGTTTTTTTTATTTTATTTTATATTAATTAATTAAGTTATCAACCAATCTTATAAATGTTTTTAATTTAATCAATAAGTCTATATATACTTTCATTTTTTTCAATTCTTAATTTATAACTTATAAATTTTTCGTGAAATCATAAATTCCTTTAGACCTTATTAATTTTGAAATACATGTTAATAGGAAAAATAGAATTTACAAACTACTTTAACAAATACAAACATAATACAATATTAAAATGCAATAAAAAAAATGAAAAACAACTCTATCTTTTGGATATAATTTTACTAAAATAGTGGGTTCGTTTAATAAAAATATTACTTGTATTATGATAATAAAACAGTTTATGAAAAAAAAATTAAAAGTAAGGAAGATTATATAGAAAAATAAAAATATGATTTTCCGAATGCTATAACTTTGTTCATTGTTAGAGGGAAGGGAATAAATAAAGAAAGAAGATGGCAGGCACGAGGACGCCATGGATTTGGAAGTTAGAAGTCTAACGCAGAAAAGCTTTCCTAGTCAAACACCTGAATCATCCATTACAAACAGCTCTCATATGCCAACAAACAACAATGCAATTTATAATAACAAAATAAAAATCAACTTTTTTTTTTCATGTCTGGAGTATCCACCGCGTGGATAGTTGGCCCCAAGATTTAACGCGGCTGCATACACAAGGTAGGATTCGAACCTCTGACCTTGCTTAAGCATGGATCAACCCCTACCGCTGAACCACACGCTTGCTTGGGATTAAATAAAAATCAACTTTACACCTATACTTAAATATATTTGATTTTTATAATTTATATTTACTTCAATATTTTTATTACATTTATCATAAGTATATATATTTTAAAATGTGTGTAGACAGTAGAGAGCAATATAAGATAAGGCGGAAAGTGGAAAGTGGAAAGTGGAACATAAAAGCTGGTGTTTTTGTCTTCTGAGTTCTGAGTTCTGAGACTCTACTCTCTCTCTGTTTCACAAGTCCCACATGGACGTTCCGACCAACCCAGAAATCTCGGTGGAGGTTCCTCCGTACCTTCGAGTGCACAAAGACGGCACCGTCGAGAGACTCGCGGGAACCCAGGTAGCTCCCGCCGGCCACGATTCCGACACCGACGTTCTCTCCAAAGACATCCTCATCATCCCCGAAACCGGTGTCACAGGCAGGCTCTACCGTCCCAATTCCACTCCCCAAACCGCCAAGCTTCCGTTAGTTCTCTACTTTCACGGCGGCGCCTTCTGCATCTCTTCCGCCGCCGACCCTCTTTACCACAACTCCCTCAACAGGCTGGTGGCCGAGGCCAACGTCGTCGCTCTCTCCGTCAATTACCGGTTAGCGCCGGAGCACCCACTCCCAACCGCGTACCACGACTCTTGGGCGGCGATCCAGTGGGTGGCGGCCCATGGTAGAGACCACGAAGACTGGCTGAGGGTCAACGCTGACTTCGAGAGAGTTTTCTTGGCCGGGGACAGCGCGGGTGCCAACCTAGGACACTACATGGCCTTAAAGATGGACAATGTTAAGGGTTTTGGTTTGAAGGGTTTTGTGATGGTGAACCCTTATTTCTGGGGGAAGGAAGCGATTGGAGTTGAGGTGAGTGATGATGAGAGGAGGAAGATGGTGGATAAGTGGTGGGGTTTTGTTTGTCCTTCGGATAAAGGGAACGATGACCCTTTGATTAACCCCTTTGTGGAGGAGGCTCCCAGTGTTGAAGGGGTGGCTTGCCACAAGGTGCTTGTTGTTGTGGCTGAGAACGATATACTGAGGGAAAGGGGGAAGCTTTATCATAAGATGTTGACTAATAGTGCTTGGAAAGGAAACGCTCAGTTCTATGAGACTCTAGGGGAGGATCACGTCTTTCACATCTTCAACCCTCATTGCGACAAGGCCAAGACTTTGCTCAACCGAATTGCTCATTTCATCAATCAACACTGAATGTTTTCTTCTTTACTTTCATTCTCTTGTGTGTGTGGATGCATAAGAATAAGATTCAACAAAGGTTGTTTTGTTTTGTTTCTGTTTCCAGTTATTCAATTCCTATCATTTATTAATCACTAGTCACTACCATCGTCAATGTTGTATATTTAACTATAATCAATTTATATGAAGGATTCCTGCTTTATTTGTGTTCTCCTTGCTTTATTAGTAGAAAGAATTATGGTGGTTGACTGGTTGGTGCATGCAACTGTAGCACGCAACTCGATCCTTCACTTCTATAGTTTGTTGGGGGATTTTATATGGTAAAATAAGAATATATAGGCGTCACGGTTCTCGTCTCCTAAAGTTAAATTCTAGATGGTATAGTATTTTAAATTTATTGCTGAATCACTTATATTTGTCATGCTATAACATGATTAATAATCGGCTCAACAGGCTAAATAAGAATATATATTAGTGGAGAACATGTCTTTCTCCTTCTAAAGCCAGCTTTTGCTGTTGATTTATTGTAAGACAGTTGACACATTGTGAAGCAAAAAAATAAAGGTAAATGTAATTTCTGTTGGCTTGTCAAAGGTGCGTGGAAAATTATGAAACATTTCTGATCAAAAGAACACAAAGCATGCACGCCCTAGGCCCGCAGTATCCTTATCTGAAACCGTGACAGAAAAGGCAGAAAGTAACAAGAACAGAGAGCCAATAGCAGAGTAGTATATTTCTAACTTTTACTAAATCCATATAAGTACAAGCATTGTATTACTATTTGTTGCAGTGCAAGCGTGCAACACAGATACAGGTAAGCAGTCTCAAACATGGATTCACAAAGGAACTATAAAATTTGTGGGCGTAGTTGAACTAGTTAAATACAGAATTTTATTTTGCTAATGAACTTTAATTTTAATATAATTTTCTATTGTGTACATTACTAAGTTAAATTTCCTCATAAAATTTTAAAAGTTGTAGTAATTCAGTAGAAAACATTTCCTCAAAAATTAATCCGTTTTAAGATTTTGATTACATTAAAGTTATATTTTTTTAACATTTTTTTTTATCAAACTCGATATTTAAATTTGAGAACTTAAAATTTGATAATTATTTGTAATACTAGTTAGACCAACTAACGTGTAAATTTAAATTAAACACCGATTAAAACTAGCAAAAACTAAACAATAATTCTTTCGTCTTGATTCCCATCAATCTTATGGTATTAAGCAGTTCTTTAGAAAATATATATAGAGATAGATCCATATTTCTATTTCAGCCTGGCCCAACACTTATTACTTTATTTTATCGGCCATCATCACTTATTACTTTCTAGAAGCGTATAGAAATGAGAAACTATAATAATATATTTTTATAAATAAGCTGGATAAAAAAAAGAAAAAGAAAAATATAAAATAAGAAAAGTAATGTGATAAGAAAAATGAGAGAAAGTAAATTATAAAATATGTTATAAGAATAATATATTTTCGGAAAGAAAGCCTCGTGTCTAACCATGCATCTGTATTTTTCTTCTTGTGAACGTTAAGCAACACTTTCTTTTCAAGCTCCTTCCTCCTCTAATCAATTACAATGGAGCAATGATGGCGATTAAAGACACGGATCAGGACTTAGGACCTAAGAAAATAGAGCCAAGAAAAAAGTCAAAATAATAATAAAAATTAGATAAAACAGTGCAAAAGCATGTTACTCAAATAGTTTATTCAGATCAACAAGGTTCGAAATTGTCTGTCGTGTTTCCTATTCCAACACGATAAGTTTTCATCAACAATGTTCATCCCTTAAATAAGGAACCATGATTTATGTTTTTCAAGAGAGGCCATCATTTGAATCCGAGTATTAAATGATAGGCTTTAGAGCTTAGTCATTAAACATAATCTATATACTTTGTCACGACATTATTTAAATAGCAGATTATTTTCATTAGCTCATCACAATAAGACACTGCTTGATGTTGGTGCTATCATGAAAACTTTTTTAATCTCCCTGTATGAAAAAGACCGAAGATATTATAATGTTATAAAAGAAAAACATAGTAACTTATAATTTATAATATAATATGTTTTAATATAACTTGATCGTTATATTTATAATAATAAAAAAAATCATTTTACAAAATTATGTTGTTTTAAAAGAATCATTTTAAAAAAAAATTTCCGTGAATATCATTCTTGTAAACTTGAATATGAGAAAATAAAAGAAAATACAATAAATAAATAAATAAAAACAAACCTCTGAGGTCTACGTATGAGAAATATATCGGAAATGGTATACATGTATAATTATATTGAAAATGATATAAGTAAGATAGAAATTAAATTATAGAAGTATAGTTATATTTTGTTTTCACCAGACTTTGTTCTCAATCATTAATCTCTATAAAAGAAATCGACTAATTATCTCCAATGACATCTATTATTTCAACTACATTTTTTATATTAATAAAACTTAAATTTGAAACCTTATTTAAAGAACTTGAATTTAATTTTTGCTAAATTAACAACTTGTTAGTAAAATATAATTATATTTAGTGAAATATAAAAAAATATGACATAAACAATAATATTTTGTTTCAGTCAGTTAAATATTCAAATATTAAAAAAAAAGTACTTACAAAACAATTATATAAAATAAAAAATTAATAAAAGTGATTGAATTATAAATGAGATATATAGTATTAATAGTAAAAGATATCTTTTATTCGATTTTAAAATATTATATTAGTTATTTAGTACTAATAAATATACGTCCACTTTTAATCTCCACATTTTTTTACATTAATATTATATTTTTCTTTTTCCTACACATTAACACTGTAAAAAAATATTATATAAAATTTATTTCATAAATGTACCAAGTAAAATAGATGGCTTAGTAGATTTTATGTTAGTTATCAATTATAGCCGTGTATTTGGACGAGTTACTCTCATTTTTAAGTATGTTAAAAATATATTTATTTATAAAATTATTATTTTTTATATTGAGATAGCATAATTAATTATTTGAATTTTTTCAGAAGTATATAAAAAATACGAGTGTTAAAGTTGGGTATAGTATTATATATATCTTTTATTTTACATAAATATTTATAAAATTGAGACATTTTTTATAACATGAAAATTTTATTTTAAGATTTAGAAAGGATTTAACTTATCTTCAATTTGGTGTAAAAAAGAAACTTATCTTAAACTTAAATATATTTTGTAATTTTAAAACATAAAATGATAAATTTATTTAATTCTTTTACAATTATATTGTAAATAAAAAATTATCACATTTATAATATTTATAATCTTATAAAAAATATTTTGAATATTTCATATGAATTAATAAAAAATTATTAGAAGTGAGAGTAACAAAATGTTCTATGTTTTATCGCATTATGTCCTGTCTCATCCCGCTCGGTAAAATGGGTTCAAAAATTTAATACATCTCATTTAATAATTAAAATTCTATATATATATAAATATATATATCAAATTATTAAAATAAAAGTTCTTAATGCATAGATAAAGTCTACAAATTTTTAAAAATTTTGAAAATTATTTGATGTCTCATTTTGTTAATTCAAATTGACGGATAATTATAAAAATATTTTATACATTGATTTGAATTTATATAACGAAGTAACATATAATTTTTAAATTTTTTTAAAATTTATAAACTTAATCTATACATTAAGAACTTTTAATTTAACGATTAAATCATTGAAATTCAACATAGATCGTGAATTATTGAGCGAAACAACTTAAGCAAAAGCTACCCTTGGAGCCATTTGATCCATATTTATATATATATACATACATACATACATATATATATATACATACATACATACATACATACATATACCGGTTTGCTAGATTACACCTACTAATTAACTTATACCCACTTATTTTTTTAGAAAGAGTAAGTTAGCAAGTTATAAATGCATCCAGGTGTAGCTTGTTAACTCACTTCTTCTAAGAATCAGGTGTGTGTAAACAAGCAAAATTTATATATATATATATAAATATAT